AAATATAATTCCGACAAAGTATAATATATCAAATAAATTTCAAATATTACTCACTAACTATTTTATTTACTTTTCGTTCTTTTAAAATAGAAGAATTATCCACTCTAATTGGATTGTCTTTATTGATAAAATTTTTCGGCTTAGGCACTATTAAAATTGTAATAAAATTAATATACTTAAACTAATAAACTTTAAATTATAGATTAATTTACCAATTTTTTTAGTTGCTTTTTTTTTTGTAACAAAAAAATTATCATCTGATGTAAATAAGTTTTCATTGATATTATATGCAGTTGTGTTATCCAATCTGGTATCTAATTATTTAAATTATATAAAATTAAATTTTAAGTATTATTTAAGTTGACTAAAAATAAATTATCATATTGTTTAGCAGTATTAAATTTAAATTTAAAATAAGGCCATTCAAAGTTAATTAGTTGTTTAATGACAATATTTTGGGCTCAGATGAGGGGGGAGTTGAAAGAGGAGAGAAGTGATGTTAAACAATAAATTAACTTTGAATAGTTTAAAAGTACCGTTATTTAAAATAAGTATATTTTCTTCATAATTTCTTCGATAATTACTATTATTTAAAGTAAGTCTATTTTCTTCATAATTTATTTGATCACCGCTATCATTATCATCAGTATCAGTATCAATATAATCAATATTATCTAATAAATAGAAGTTTATAAATATTATTACTTAAAAATAAATAATAAAGTTTAAATTTTATTTTACCACTTATTTCAATTGTTTTTTGTTTATTAAAGTTGTATTGAGAGCTTATTCTTTTTTCTTTTATGGCCATAGAATTTCTGAGAGAGTTTTCTTCATAATTTCTTTGATCATCGCCATTATTATCTTCAGTATCAGTATCAATGGTATCAACGTTATCTATTAAATAAAATTTTATAAATATTATTACTTAAAAATAATAGTTTAAATTTAATTTTACCTCTTATTTTAACTGTTTTTTGTTTATCAAGTTTGTATTGAGAGTTTATTCTTTTTTCTTTTATAGTAGTAGAATTTTGAGAGGTTTTTCTTTTTTTTTTAGCCGATAAACCTGTATATTTATAATAATATGCTATAGAATTTTTAACAATTAGTTAAAATTAATAATTGTCGCGGCTGAAGCTGGAAATGGCTGATGCTGGAAATTAGGGTTCTCGATTTAAAACTATAAACCCTGCTAAAATCCAACT